AGAAATCCTCACGCTTTAGAGAGGGTTGAGTACGTAATATCAAAATGATTTTGTAGCCTCACCAAGTCGTTACAGTCCATATCGCCACGTCCGGTCAGGTTCTATCTGACGACCATATTTATTAATAATAATCCTACAGCACAGTTTCCCTTGGTAAAGACTTGATTTTAAGGTTGTCATGTTCAAATCACACCATTCCTCTACAGAGCTTTCCATAATTTATATAGTGTACGTAGACGACATATTTCAGCATCCGTTTCAACATTCCTATTGCACAGGAATCTATAGGCGCTGCACCCAAGTACTCATATGGAATAGAATAAATACATGTTCCATTTTCCAGCTGCTTGAGATATGCAACAATTAAACGAGAGGTAAACGACTGTAAACCTTATCTTGGTGACTTATATCGACTGCGGTTATAAATTGAATTGTTGACTTTCATATTCAACACCGTTTTAATATAACGTACTCAACCCTCTATATAACACTTTCACATGATCTCCACCAATCTAAGTGATCTTTTACAAGTGATTTCACCATGTGATCAGCACATTGACAAAACTTTTTACTGGAATTTCTTTTATTGTTTTATTGACAGTATATTTGAATTTGACATACATAGTTGTTGGTGGAGAGTAAACCCTAGTCTTGATGGAGTTCTACGGCCCAAAGACCAATAGTATTAGGTCTGGAGATCGCCGTGTTCAGAGTAACGCTTTTGCATAGCTAGTCCAGTAGTTCGATAGATATTATCTAATGGCTCACGTAAATGAAGTGTAAAATGGAGTGGTACTTGACGTATTGAAAGACACACATTAGAATAACCCCAAACTTTCAAGTTATGTGGAAAAAGTTCTTAATCTTGTCCAGGTAGGTAGATTCTGTGACCCAGTTACCTAGGTAATACTACCTTATTTTGTGCTGGATCATACGATGACTCTCTTAATATATCTTAAACAATATCACTGATGATCAGTCATGATGATCTGGAATACAAAGTCAGCTTATAATCTCAAATTTGATTTCCTCATATCTCACTCTAACATGAATCACAGGTTAAAATGCACCCAATTGTTCTAATGCCACTGTAAAACTATTGGAAGAATGAAAGCCTGACAAACACAGCAGGACATTGTAAGTTGGTTATAAGTGTCGTTAGCAGAATGTGGAACTGCCCCTAAGCCAGTGATTTAGATGCTCGGTGACAAGGCAGAACATCATTTGAAACCTAAGCAGTGATCATTATCTGTCGATTTTGGCTTTCTGCAATTGTAAGGCACCTGCATCGAGACTGAATCAAATATTTACTCATGCAACTGGACGCTGTGTACAGGCAGCTAAAAACAAGGTACATAAGCTCAGCCTTTTTGCCAGATGTCCAAATAGGTGAAATGTAATCACAAGGCATGAGACATCTCGCCTGTGGCGAAGATGTGGACCAACGACACGTGGGGCAATAATTTACCTACAAATGAGTCGCGTTTCACCCTAAATTCTAGTTCGTAACGCATACCTGTCTGGAGAGACACTGTAACCTGATCTAACATAATTTTCTAACATGAACTTGACATTCGTGGAAGTATGTTGGTGTGAACATAACTAAGTGTTGGTGGACGTACCGATCTTTATATTCTGCAATGTAGTTAATTCCATACGTTATAGTGAACATATCATACGACCTTTTATGATGCTCTATACTACTTTCACCATACTGGATAACAATACCTTAAACTTGTCAATACAATCCTCGAAGAAGAAGAACTGACCGAAACCTTTATGCTCACCAATTTCAATCCCATTTATACTGCTATGTGTTTATCTGCGTAGTTTTTTTCTTATTTGTTATTTGTACGGCAATAAAAAACATTCTGCTATGTAGTTTTCAAAAATTTATAGTATCACTTTGTCATTGCAACACGAATTTTGATTTCAGGATATTTGAAAATGTTCTAGTGGTGGATTATGTTCCCACGTTCAGTTTTAAAATACTTTTCGTCATATTCACTTTCGCAACATAAGTATTTAAATACGTTCTGTTTTATTATACTTATAGTTGTGTAACAAAGCTTGTGATACAGTATTATATATATTTTGTGTATCAGGAGGTTTTGTGTTGAATTTGTAAACGGCATCAATATTTTGTTGTTAAGATCAGATATGAACTCAATTCACTTTTTGCTTTGATCAACATAAACACTAAAAAGACAAAACACAAAAAGTGAAGCTCATTTATTTCCAAAGATAAAAAACAACAAAGGAAACTAGGTTTGATTAATGATGCATGAAGTGTTTTCTCAGAGATCAACACTAAAGCAGTTAATTTTGATTAATTATTAATGAAGTATTTTGTCGGAGTGATATCAACACTAAATAAACTAATACTGATTGATGATAAATTAAGTGTTTTCTCGGAGATCAAAACGAAAGAAGCTAGTTCTGATTGAAGATAAACAAAACTTAGTTTTGGTTAATGATAAACTAAGTGTTATCTCAGAGATCAACACTAAAGAAGTTAGTTCTGATTGATGATAAATGAAGTGTTTTCTCGAAAATCAAAACAAAAAAGATAGTTCCGAGTGATAATAAATGGAACTTACAAATGCCTCAATATATACTGTTTAAGTGTAGCTGATTAAAGATTAGGTTTCTAAAGTGTTATAAAGGGAACATATTATGGATGCAAACACCCAATTAATAATGTGTTCCATTTCTAATGCACTTCATATTTCATGTTAGTTATGATTTGCTTTGTTAACATTATCATGATGATCACAGTATATATTTTTACTCTTCGAATCGATGCCATAGTTGTTTTAGTTGTGGCAGTAACAACCATACATAAACTCCTACACGATTAGACAACTAGGAAAGTTGTGATCTTTCTACCTTTATTACACTATTATTAACTAGGTAAACTGGATTTTATCTTGTCAGGTGCGTCAAAAATATGATTTGAAACAATATACTTCTGTCGTATATCTAAAGGCAAAATATTCAACCCTTTCTCTCAGAAGCTTGAAAAAATTACTTTTTTTTTTGCTGCACGCGCTTGATCGAACTATCAGATTCTGTTGACTTGTCATTCACAATTCAGTTTAACAACAACCTTCAAAAACTTCTTTTATAGAAGCGTTGAAATCCTAAAACTCTGCTACGCATGTTTGACAGAAGTTGTATATCAAATTTTTTGTAAAATATCATGACTATAAATACGAGCTAACATGTTGTTGTACAACATCTTTGGCATACTTATATACACAACGTTCAATTGGTAAAGATACCTTACAGAGAATATTACCAGAAACAATAATTACATCCAAGGAATGGACCGAATAACACAGTAAATGAAAACCATTACTTATAATTTGAGGTTGCTCTCGTATTTCATTTCTCTGTATATGTGCACACAAGATGTTGGTTAGTTGTGGTAATACTGAATAAATCATGAACTAGCAAAATCTTAATTTATTTTGTAACATTGATAATATTCTATAAACTACTCAATATATGTATTCATTGCTGTTTCTAAAACTAGCTAAAAGTTGCGAATACTTTGTCCAACTGTAGAATGTTGTGACAGAAAAAATCGTATTTTGTGTGTGTGTTTCATTTACATTTCTTATACTGTTTTTCTAGCTTATAAGACTAAACAGAAGCACCATTTGCTTTTTAGTAACAATACGCAGTTGGTTCTTTACTTTGTTCGATGCATTCACTGATTGATTAGAAGAAAAACGCAACCGTCCCGAAAAGTCGTCATAACAATATTCAATACAAGGTATATGATGGTAAAAACCTTCCCAAAGTCATTCAGGTTAATTTCAGCACGTTAAATACAACAGCATCTTGGTGAAATTCTAGTTAAAATTAATTGAAGAGATCCAAGCCAAGAACATTATACAATAGAAACTAACAAATAAAAACCAATGCACAAGTTAATTAACTGAAGCAGTGAAATGTATTCTGGTAACAGATATATCTGCGGAAGGAAGACCCACACAAGATCGTTATGGCTATTCAAAATCACAATGTTTCGCATTTAAACCACCGTTCATTACCTGCATCTACTGGAAAATAAAGACATTGGAATCTCCCTGTGCGATTGTACGCTGCTTTCCGTAATTCCTAATTAACTGATTAGCCAGTGTTTGAGAAAGCAGGCCTATAACAACGATAACAACTAAACAGAAATATAAAAGTAAAAATAAATAATCTAACCTACTTTTAAGGAAAGTTTAACCAGTGTATTCAAACTGTGAAAAATTATTATAAATATATGAATGTTTTATTTTATTACTGTTCCGTAAACTCAAGTTAGAAATAAAAGAATTTTGAATTCTCTCTTTGTTTACTTGACAAGGAGCCCTCTAGTGGCTCAGTGGTAAGTCTGAAGACTTATAACACTAAAAACTGGATTTCGATACCCGTAGTTGGCACAGCCCAGATAGCCCATTGTGTAGCTTTATGCTTAACAACAAAACAAACAAACAATTTTGACACAGTAAAACGAAACTTAATAATTCCACGAGAACAAGAAGAAAAAAAACACACACATAGTCATAAAACATAGTCATAACTTGTATTAACTGTCTACAGTCTGACTAAAAAAGGTTTTCGTTTATGAGTCTGCAGTGCAATGTTTAACTGAGGGAAGGAAATACGCTAGTTTTCTTGTGATTGAGAATAATTCGTTTACAATTTTTCTTTGACGATATCGTCTCATGCACAAAAAATATGTTCTCAGTTTTAAAAAAGTAAGAATGGGCTTAGTTGGGATACTGAAACTATTAATGAAAGAAAATAAAAAAAATATTTTTAATATAAACAATAAACCTGTCATTCAATAAGAAGCGTTCTATCTTCGTTTCATAGTAAGCCATTAATAGGGCCAGCTCTTAAACATCTAGCAGTTAGATGGCGCTCCTGGTCAAAGTAAACTGAGCACGGAGTTGTCCCACACTGTTTCCACATTGTAAGCTAGTTGTGTGGCTCACGAGGTAGAGAACAGTTGGAATGTAATTGTTTGTGGCCCTGACACTTAAACACTATGTTTACTCTCTTACTTTTGATAAACACTCTTCTTGTGCAAGGTAAGCCAGTTTTCCAATTTTTATATGGTAGAATTCTTCAGCTCAAACTTATCAATTATTTGAAAACAATTATATAGGAACATCAATAATATTGTTCTCAAGATGAAGTTATGAAAAAAAAAAACAGCTCGATACTCTTAAATCAAAACTTATAGGTTTTTGTTTTCTACTATTTGTTTACCAAAGACATTTTGATAACTGCTCAAGAAATAAGAGATTCGTTTTCTAAACATAAATGAATAGCTGTTTTTCATGATCTTTGATCTCTGCCAAAATAGCCTACTACTTACTTTAACATCTTTTATATTGGAATTTAGTAATTAAACACAAAAGTTAAATAAGGTACTCTATATCAAACTCAGTTCTATCTCTTTTGAAAAATATATGATTCGTTTCTAACTACAGAATTAAATTCCATTTGAGATAAATTGGCGTTGGAATGACTGTTTTATTTAATATGGTAGAAAAAAGAAACATTATTTTTTTATTTTTACTACCAGTATATCTATTTATTTATTTGAAATAGAAAAGTATTTTAGGACTTTTTCAAGGATCATATATATATTACTTAGTTCTAACTTCATATCATGAATGTTATATAGAAGAGTAAAAACTGGTCGATTGTAATAGGTAGAAAATAATACTATTCAATTTGAATATCAATGTAATTGGAAGGCTCACGTACCTGCAAGTATCCGGTTCCTTATATCATTACCAAGTTTCGGGAAGTCACTTGTCAACGAAAGCTGGATTCATATAATGACAAATTGATCAGAAAGTTTTAAAGAAGAAAAATCTATCTCTGTGCTTAATAAAATACCCCCCCCCCCGTGGCACAGTGATAAGCCTGATGGCTTATAACGCTAAAAACCGGGTTTCGATGCCCGCGGCGGGCAGAGCACAGTTAACCCATCGTGTAGCTGTGCTTTTAACTACAGACAAACAACGTGTAATAAAATAGCTATATATATATATATATATAAAGATTTATATATACTTTTTGATGAAGTAATTTCTGATTCTCCGTCTTAACCTTTGCCGTTAAGAAAACGTTAACACTAGAAACAGCTTTTATGGGAGTTGAAAAGAGAAAACACGGACATCGCCATAGTCATTATTTAGTCCAGTAAAAACATGGCTACAATAAATAATTTTGTTACAGTTACATCTTAAAAATTTTAAGAAGAAGCAAAGTTTATAATGAGAATAAAAGACATTTAATTAGCTAATAATGCAATCTGATAAGAACTGTTTTTCATTTACTGAATCTGCAATACATACCTCATGGAACGGTCAAAAACAGCGTCCTTTTACAAAGCATTGAAGCTGAGTTTAGTTATCAAGTACATATCCAAGCGAGGTAGGTGAAACTTGCAACCAGTAGGCCTGTATGACGGAAATATTGTCGTTTTCGCTTCTGTTCTTTTTATTACTCGATACTTTTTAAACAATTGCGTGAATATTTGATATATGTCTTGGACATTTTAATACTTGGACCTCAGAGCACGTGATATTTACTTCATAAATTTACAACAAAATCCTCCTTGGAGGCAGAAACATGGATCTTTAACACTTTTAACCTAAATTTTCTTTGGAGCCAGTAGTGTCTGCTGCATTAAAGATTTTAGTTAAATTCTTTCATGGAGACAGAAATACCTGATAGTTTAACCATTTTAAGCCAAAATCCTCCTTGGAGACAGAAATATCTGATGTTTAACCATTTCAAACCAAAATCCTCTTTGGAGACAGAAATGCCTGATAGTTTAACCATTTTAAGCCAAAATCCTCCTAGGAGACAGAAATATCTGATATTTTAACTTTTTTTTTTACCCACAATTATCCTTGGAGACAGAAATACCTAACAGTGCAACCATTTCTAGTCAAAATCATCCTTAAAAACAGAAATACCCGATAGTATAACCTTTTAAAACCAAAATCATCCTTGTAGACAGAAATACTTGATAGTTTAACAATTTTTACCAAAAATCATTTTTGGAACCTGAATTTGGGTATTTTGTGATTTTCAACTCAATTAATTCCTGGAGCTTTAAATCAGGGTATTTTCACATTTTAAGCTGATCTATCCTTGGAGCTGTTAATGTTTATTACTTTAATAATATTTATAATATAAAAAAAATCTTCTAACACTGAGCATCTTATATTGAGAAGAACACTGCCATAATATTTAAACTCGTGTTTGCTAACTAATTTAGTAACAACTATAAAATAATAACAAATACACGACTCATAGATACATATATATATATATATATATATATGTTGTTATTATTCACACATGATGTTTACACTCGTTTAAGAAAGCGATTGTTGATTGGTTATGACAGATCACATGCTGCTGATTCATTTAAGTCCATTAGGTGTCCAAGTTTTTTGTGAAGCATTTAGTAGCTCCATACAAACTATAGAAATAATTTGCCTCGCAGTTGAAAATGAAACTTACACGTATTTGTACATAATTCAGTGAAATTGTTTAAAAAAAAATATGTATATATATAATACACGCATTAATTGTAGCCTTGTCGTAAATATTTAACACTACCAGCATGTGGTTTGAAATATTTTGTGTTAAACGATCTAACAATGTATTTACTCCACATTTAGATTTCAAACTAGGATAAAGTACATGAGTGCTTTTAATAATAGTTTTGCTTATTTTACTGTGCAATACTTGTTTAAATCAGGAATGACAAATTTTAAGGAAACTGTGAAAATCCTCAGTACATTTTTGTAAACCTTGTTTAGATTCAAGTTAAAGAAATAATTGTATATTTAGAATTTAGTATGTTATCAATTTCGCGCAAAGCTACACGAGGGCTAGCGTTCCATAATTTAGCAGTGAAAGACTGGAGGGAAGGTAGCTAGTCATCACCACCCACCGCCAACTCTTGGGCTATTCTTTTACCAACGAATAATGGGATTGACCATAACATTATAACACCCCCACAACTGAAAGGACGAGCATGTTTGGTGTGAGGTGGATTCGAACCCGCGACTCGCAATTTGCGAGTCGAGCGCCCAAAACAACTGACCATGCCGGGCCTTAGAATTTAGTACTGAAATAACCTATGCATTTATTTACTTAATATAATCAACTTCACGCAGAAAACTACGTTTAGAAGTTTTGTTAATTAATACAATTTAGGTACACTGTGGCTCCCTCCGTGGCACAGCGGCATGTCTGCGGACTTACAACGCTAGAAACCGGGGTTTCGATACCTGTGGTGAGCAGAGCACAGATAGCCCATTGTGTAGCTTTGTGCTTTATTTTATAGAGTAATACTCAACGACTATGTCTCATCCGTGGAATCAAACTTTCAGAAGAACAGAATTAACAGCATCACAGCACCATGCTATACATCATTACGATGTATTTTATAAGAAAGATAAATCTCCTGTCATTATAGCATACCGACATTTTCTTAAAAGTATTTTTTTCATGATTTGCATATTGTAAATTGATAAACAAGGTAGATAGCAGATAGTGGTATAGTGAATAAACTGGACATTAATTATCAAACATTAAACTGCCCTATCAATAAATGCATAAGCACAACGGTAAAATACTCGAAAATAAATGTTTTATTTTCGTAAATGTGAAATAATATTTAAACCTAAAAATAAATTTAATTTAATTATATACTGCTGCTACTCGTAATCAATATATGCCCACACTTCTTCTACCTTTTCAATTGCGATATTTGTTTGTTTGTTGTTAAATGCAATGGGTTACATGTGCCATGACTAACCCAGGGATTGAACATAGAATTTTAACGCTATAGCCGCCAAGCTTATCACTGAGCTATCGGAGGCTAAGATATTCGTATATGTGTGACCATATCGCTATTAAGACTAATTATTTTGTTTTAAGAAGACACAGCTTTAAGGAGAGCTTAAGTTTTAGTAAGTAATTTCATTACATTCCTGAATCGTTCAGTTCTACTAATTTGCTATCAAATTACAGACATCAATATCAAGCCTTGAAAAAGTGCACGATATATTTACATGTGACATTTAAAGGACGACATTAATCAGTTTATCTAGTGATACATATAAACACTGATAGGTGGTACCAAAGAACAAATGTTGATATGAGTAGATAAAGTCTTCTGGGAGAATGGAAATAAGTCTGCAAAATGTATTCAGTTTAATATTACTAATTTGATTTGAAAACTTCCTTACCGGAAATCCCCTTTGGATGAGTAAAATAGTCTTGGAAAATGGTAAGTAATGCACGTGTAGTCTGAAGCATAAAATAGCTGCAAGAGCTGTAAAATAGATTACTTAGAAAAAAAAAAGTTGATGAATAATTAATAAATATGACAATTACTATGGTTGGTGAAGTTGATTGCGATATTACACATAACATAATGTGCACCTCAATAGCTTAATATTAATCTAAGCACATCATTTACACACACTAAGTAGTCTTCTTATATCAGCTTACAATTCACATAATCATTACTTTCAATTAAGCTTCTTAGTCCATTTAGTAGATTTGTACCGATACAAGTATGCTTAGCTTACAGATGAGCTAATGAGATAAATGTACATCTAAATGAAAATAATGATTTCATGTTGAACGTAGGTTATTAGAAAAATAATATAAGTATATTAAGCATGTGTTTGGTATAAAGAAGATGAAGTGTGTTCTGATGTCAGATATGTGAATAATATCTAGTTTTGACCTTAACATTACGTGAATTTAGTATTATATAGTAGACAGTTGAGATTGCTTGCATATCTATTATCTTCTAATTGTGGTGCTAAGTTACTTAGGTATGCAAAAAACGTTATCATTATGTAATTATCAAATATAGATACAATGCAAAAAGAATTACCAGTTTCCTTGCGAGATATTTTCGTTTTAATATGTACATATGCAACAGTAATAATAATAATATATACCTTAGAGGAAAATTACCAAATTTTATTAACATAAAGATAAACAACGAAAACCTTTCAAAGAAAGTACAAAGGTA